ACACAGAAGACCTGGATTTCGCGCGTGGATGATTAATGTTTGATGCCACACACAATCGAAGACTTACAAGCGAAAACCGACCGACAAACTGGTCGAAGAAGCAGCAGCCAGCGAAGACAGGACTCCAGGTAAACATAGACAAGACGGAGGTGATGAAAATAACCAACCAACAACAAGAACAGCAACAACATCCAGCGTCAATAACCATCAACGGGAGGGATTTGAAAGAGGTTACTTCATTCACTCACTTATCTAGCATTGAGCATTGTCTCAACTACAGGAAGTCGGAACGGACGAGGATGTCAAATCGAGCGAGAATCGGGAAGGCGAAAAACACATTCACTCATCAACCTGAAACAACCAATCTGGAAATCTTCGTCACTCAGCCAGCATCAACAACAAAATTCGCTCGGATTTTCAATACAAACAACGTCAAGTCAGTCAGTTCTTCTATACGGATCAGAAACTTGGCGGGTGGGTCACAAAGAATATTTCCAACAGCCTGTTGCAGACCTTTATTAACAACTGTCTTTGCTGGATCTGTACTGAAGATCAGATAGCCGGGCGGGCTGGAAAGAATCACCAACAAGAAACTATGGGAACAAACAAAGCAAGAACCAATCACCAATCAACAAATATGCAGGAGAAAGTGGAGATGGATTGGACACTCGTTGAGGAGGCCGGTTGGTGACATCGCGCGTCAGGCCCTCGAGTGGAACCCGAAAGGGAAGAAGTGAGTGGGACGTCCAAGGGTGACATGGAGAAGATCGTGTGAAGAGGAGTTGAAACAGTATGGACTAACATGGATGCAGGCGAAAAGTACAGCAGAAGGAAGACAGAAGCAAATGGAGACGTGCAGTTGAAGCCCTATGTTCCACTAGGAACCCAAGGGAGCAATAATAATAAATAATGATGTGATATATATTATATATTTAGCGCTGGGTCCAACAAGCCAGACAAGAGAGCAGTTACTTGCCTGTGTGACGCTGGCTGGCAGTTGGAATTCATGGACTGGCCATATGTCAAATTCCATTATATTATTTATTTATGGAGTAGGATGTTCTATAATTTTTTATAAATAGTATAAGACATTTTGTTTAAATTTACGGGAAAAAAACTATTATCTCAAATGTAACCATAACGACCAGGACAATGCAATAATGCATAAGAAGGACAAACTCATAATTCTGTATACTTATACTAGTTATAATTTAAAGGAATTGACATTTGAAAAGTGAGTGTTTTTTCTGTAAGGCTAAGTGTATTGTCACAAAAAATAAGAAACGTTATTGTCAGAAAGGAAACAGGCATAAAAATAGACCCAGACAAAAAGAGACTTGGAGGATCTGGACTTCGCCGATGATATATGTATGTCTGATTTCTCACAAACTGGAAGATATGCAAGTGAAAAGCAACAAGTTGGCCGAAGAAGAAGCATCAAAGATAGGACTTCCTTCAGGTGAACATAGATAAAACAGACGTAGGTGATGAAGATTCCTGGCCAACACCAACAGCCACAGCAACAACAACAGACAACAATCAGCCAGCATAAATGAGAGAAATCTGAAAGAAGTAACCTCCTTTACCTACCTACCTACCTACCTAGGAAGCATCGTTTCAACTACAGCCGGACGGGATTGATGAGGATATCAAAGCGGCAAGGATAGGGAAAGCAAGGCAAACAAGCTTTCATTACTCTTAAGTCTGTGTGGAGGTCAACAGCACTCACCATCAAAAATAAGGTCCAGATTTTCAACTCCACTGGGAAGTCAGTGCCAGTTACTATACGGATCAGAGACTTGGCGTGTCGCGAAGAGCACCTCAAACAAACTACAGACCTCCATCAACAGTTGTCTTCGCTCAGTACTCAAGATCAGATGGCCGGTCAGAAAAGATCAGCAACAAGGACTTATCTCTGGGAGCAAACCACCTCAGCAGTGACCGGCTGTGCAGGAAGAAATGGAGATGGATTGGCCATACGCTGAGGAAACTATCAAGTGAGTGACATCATACGACAGACCATTCCTCCAGTGGAACCCGAATGGGGAGCGGTGAGTTGGTCATCAGTGGGAGGGTGACATGGAAGAGGTCATGTGAAGAGTAGATGAAAGCATGTGAGCGAACATGGAGCCAGGTGGAAACGTTGGTGGCAAACCGAACTCAATGGAGACGTGCGAGTGAAGCCCTATGTTCCTCTAGGAATTAAAGGAAACAATAGTAATAATTGTCAGAAACAATTCATGCCATATTAAGTAAAATTAATGATAGTGATGATGATGAAAATAATAATAATAATAATAGTAACAATAATATTTTGATCCATACATTTTTCAGACAAGAAACATTGGGCAGGTCATTAGACCTAGTTTGTGTCTCTTCAAGCACTCACAAATCCTCCACGGATTGAATCATGAACCTTCAGATTACAAGATCAACTTTATTCAGTATTCATACACTTGGGATGGAATTCAATTGGTAGTGAATTCCAATTTCTGCTACTTTGTAGTACAGCTAATTTCGTGCCCTGAAATTCCCTCGTTCGATTCTTGGTGGAGTCATGACTGCATACTGCTAATGAGTCCCTACAAAGGACTAAACAACTGCCAAATAATCCATTTGATTTTTAATGGACCCTAACCTTTGTCATTTTATAGACAATCTTGTACTAAAAATAACCCAGTTACCTACAAAAAAGCTATATTATATATATATATATATATATATATATATATATTACTGCTGAAATACGAAAGGCCTCTAAATCATATTTAAGTACGCCAACGATTAATTAAATAAAGAGAGTGAAATATCTCCTGATTCATACCATTTACGTGGAAATGTGATTAAATACATGCGATGGGAAGATGGACTCTTCAAGTGAGACTTCACATGCCAGATTTTTTAGTGACATCCGAATGGAAAACAGTTTTTTAGAGTGGGTAAAAGACATTTAGAAGATCACTCAATAAGATTTTGTTGTCAGTCATATAGCCAAGTGTAATGAAGATATGCTGCATAAGTCCTATATTTCACATGGAATGCGAGGAATAAATAATAATAATAATGAATTCACATTTGATCTGCATTTGACAGTTAACGCAGAATTCTAACACGACCGTTGAAACATTAATGCCTAAAAGTGGCAAACGATGACACTTTCACGTTATAAGGAACTATTAATAGATGACTTGTTACAGTGTTTCACCTCCACAATATGTATTTATTCACAGTTTTATTCAACTACAGAGGCGGTTATGACTCTCGCCGACCATGCATATGGTTCGGGGTTCTAACCCCTGTCAACGCACACCTGATATCTATAGTCAGCCTGAGAAATTTGGGCTACCAATATCACATGCTAAAGATTCAATACTTGTGCCGAAGAATACGGTGTGGAATCAAGCTGTAATCAAAAATTAAAATTAAAAAAATTAATTAAGAATATGTCAGAGTTACTCAGTGTAACTTAGGCCTGTATAAACAAGAAATTTAAATACCTTATAAAACTTAAAAGAGAAGGTTGGCAACTGTAGATAAATAAATTACAGTGCGATAGTCTTCAAATAAACGAGAACTTACACTTATAATTGCTTTATTTAATACGTGAAGTATTATTTTACACAAAACACTCGCCATTATTTTATGTTCCTGTGGAGTCTGTAACAATACGACTGTAAACTATTTTGTTAGATGTTGAAATTAGAAATATTGTATACGACTTTTGTTTAAAACAATTCATGCTGGAATATTTTTTGATTATAGTTTGATTCCACACTGTAGTCTTGGTACAAGTATGGAATTTTCAGAATGTGATATCGGTAGCCCAAATTTTGCAGCCTGTCAGTGGGAGTCCTAACCGGTGTGCCACCGACGAGTACAACCTAAAATAAGGTCTACTGCTGGTCGCCTCGTCTTCTCACTAGTCTATACTGTCTACTTGTTGCACTATTAACCGCGTTGCCTACTTTGAATTTTGCAGGAACCTCTCATCCTCCTCATTTGAAGACTATTCTACAACTGGTGCACAGCTTCTACCAGTAGACACGACTCCAGCAGTGAAAACTTGTGGATTATATTAATAATTTGTAGCATTGGATTTTAGCTGTATAACCAGGTAACTGATTAACCTATATAACTCATTCGTGTATTTTTTGTAATATACTGTTAATCTAACATCTCATTAACTTGGATTTTTATTCAAATACTTGTTCTGTCACTGAGGTCTATATAAAGTCACCTACATGCATACCTTCTAACATTCTTCTCATATGTGCTTTTAAAGTTTAATTCGCAATTCAGTTGGATTTGGTTGCTCAGTGGTAGATAATATTTATGCCCCTTCATAATTAAAGATAACCTGCCTATACTCTAAGAAGAATTGAAAATATACTAGAGAAACTAAAGCCAAGTTCTAGTAGAAATCCTTGATAAATGAATTATTAAATAATATCGAAACAGTCTACAGAAACCCTGTAAACGTAGCATGAGTACTGTAAGACATGAGTGGTTAGGCGCCTCACTAAATACCGAACGCTATTGTTCACTGCTTAAGTTGAACAATTTAGCTAAAAGCACGTGTTCAGTTGTCGTGTTCCGTTCAGAAACTTTGAATTTACACTCTAAAAATGGTGTATTTATTGTATAGTCTCCCACTAGTGGGAGACTTTTGAAAGAGTAGAATTATATCATAAGGTGTAAAACCATGTTAATAATGACCAGCTTTAAAAAACAAAGCAAACTTATTATTTAGAAAATTATTTCATTTGGGTGTGTGAGCACCAGTAAATTATGGACAGAGAAATATATACAGAATGAAAACTAGGTAGAGGCATCAATGGACGTCTCGGAGGTGTATTTCCAACAATCCGGTCTGTTTCCTGGTTATTGTAGGCTTCAATAGCACTAAAAGTATTTTAATAACATCACTCTTAAAATATAGTAGGTAAAAACCACAGATTATAAGATGACTAAAAGTAATGTTTTATTTAGAGTTGACTTACGTAATAGGAAATCTGGAGGAATTATATAAATATTTGTCATTAGAAATATATTCAAAATCGTTGAAATTGAGATAAAGCCATCGTTTTCCTTTAAGTACTACTTCGCCAATAAAATAACGTATGTTGTATAGCCGCTCTAAAATCCACCTAGAAGATAGCACATTCAATATCCAATATTCGACATTTTGCATAATTTAAACAAATTTTGTGTGTCACGAAGTTAACGTGACTGTTAAATGTTGGCTTTCAACTAAAATGGAATAAAATTTGTATACAGAAAATTCACATTCTAGGATGATAAATGAAAGTATGGTTCTCAATTTTCTGAGCTCATGGTAACATAGTCATATTCAGCTTTTATGGTCACCAAGATTTCAGGTAATTGACCTAATATTTCAGAAAATTTCTCAGGGTTTGTGAAGTATCTGGGGTCACACTCTTTAGATTCGAGATCGTCACCAACCAACTTGTTCACTTTGTGTCTTAATCAAACTGACTTCCAATTAACCTAGTTACCATAATGTAAATATCTGCCACAGTCAGCTTAGCTAACCCCTGTTACTTCGCTGTCAATATGTGTGAATAAGTACGGTTCAAATTAAACGTTTTTTCAGTGCGTTAGTAATAATCGGTATAATATCTGCCTTTGGAAGTAGGATTTATTTTATATTTATGGCCGTTTTGTTGAGGTAGTTTTTTTCTTTTTAACAACAATGACTTACTGCAAATAGCGTTTGGGACTTTGGCTACGGATAACTGTGAACCACATCTGATGGACAATCACAGTGGCGGCTACGAAATACTGCAGGGACTGATGCGTATCTTGAAATGAAAACTGATCAATGAGACTTAATTCTCGGTCAGATTTAGCTGTATGTCAACATTTACATTAGCAACCCACTAGCATGCTGACTATGTGAGCATTATCAGTCTGCTGCGACGCTTCTCCCGTGCCTGATCGTTAAACCACCTGTTTTAAAAAAGAGACTAGTCACTTCAGCGCTTATGGTGGCTTTTTAGCATCTAGAGCTTTCAAGACTTGAAGCAGATACCATATATACAAATACACAGTATTTGGTCACAAAATCACAAATGACGCAAGGATGCTTTAGTTTCATTCTTGAAAGATGTGTGTAGATTTTGGTCATGAATATGCGTTTTCTATCTGGAAGTTTCAGTCAGAATGGCATCTTTAATAATAATAATAATAACAACTTATTTTTCATATAAACGGGTAAGTTTACAAGAAATGAATGCCATTTTTACAGGCACTGTAAACAATGTTATAAATTACAATTCTCAAGTATCATAAATTAATACTTTCTCAAAAGTTTGTATTGTTCAATTATTGTACAAGCAATCAGAACAGGTTCGTAAACATGTTAAATTGTAAACCGTTTACTAAGGTCACCATCATAGTTGAGCGATAACCCAAACTTCCTTCTGTATCCCGCTGATAGTTATGGTCAACCAGCGAACAGCGTGTATCTTGATGAGTGCTATGCCACCACGAGATTCAATGCTATTTCAGAAAGAAAATTCCGTTAGCAACCAGTTGGAGCGCTTTCCATTCAAAACAGCATGTTCTTTTCTACCAGAAAAATAATAAGACAGCCATCTTGTGACCCAAGACTCGCTGTTTTCTGAAATCAGCTTACTTACGGAAAGTACACTAGTCCCAATACCAATATAATAACACTTAGTAATTATGTAGGTTCAATACTTGAAATTCGATTGTCATTAAAATACTTAAAATGATTAAAATAGCTATGCGGCAAGTGTTCTCTTGCTTTACCATGCTTGTTTCCCTTATAACACTCAGTTATTGAGCCTAATGTATTCTTTGATAATACGAATTATGACACTGACTATGCTCTTATTATACACAGATTGATTTACTTTACGACTACCTGTAGTACTAACTACCCTTCTGTAGTATTGTTAAACAAATGCTGAAATTTTGTTGGTTCTGTTAATATCTTTTTATAATATGTTTAGACACGTTACTTTGCAATGTCAGATGTCTACTATATACAAGACTGTCATGGTAATTTAGTACACTAAGTCCTGCCAACCGACCTTACCTTCAGTTCATACTACCTACATTGATCCCTAACTATATTGTTCTGATGAATCTTGCTTCACTATTCACAAAACCTATTCTTTTTATTCTTTAAGGTTCTAACTTCTTGTAAAGTAATCTGTTCATTAGGACGCATGCATACATATATAATGTTCATAAAGATGTACGCGGAGACCTATTGGAAGCACTCATTAAGAAAGCTAGGGAGATGGAATATGAGTTACGAACATGTCTGGTACCAAGCAATATATTTGCGGTAGCCATAATAATCATAGTCTCAGAGCTTAACATCAAAATTGGAGGGAGGGTGGCGTTAGCTGATCAGTAGATATGGTGGTGGTCACTAAGGTGAATCGCCCCATTCTGCAGGAACAGCAATACACAAATTAAAGGCTCGAGATATTTCTGATTTTTATGAGGGCTTAGATCTTTATCTTGAAAAAGATAATAATGAACGCCTTGACAGATCATGCTTCTACCTCTAAATATATACTATTCGCCCAGCCTATTGTTGAGATGCGACCATGTGGGATGTGCACAGTTTTATAATAATAATAATAATAATAATAATAATTTATTTTCATATAAACATAAATTTACATGAAAATGCATGCCATTTTTACAGGCACGATCAAGGATGATATAATGTCAAATCTTAAATTGTCTACAAGTTAATAATGTTTCAACAGTTAAATATTTGATATATATATATACACTCATTGTCTGAACCAGGCCGGATAGTTATTGAATTGTACATTTGTCCTCCAGGTTGAGCGGGAAAATCGACTTCGTTTCGTTTTCATCCCGTGGTTGTAGGCATACGATAACCAACCAATATTGAGGTAAGTACAACTTTTACAAGGGATTGGAAGCTGTTTTAGAAAAGTTAAAGTGCTAAGGTGAAACATTAAAGTGTAATAGATTAAGTGAGTGAAATATATCATTAATAAACACATTTATATAGAAAACAGAATGGGGAAGTAATTAATCCTTAGGCCGACAACGTTCATTTGCAATGTATAATGAAACCAATATATTTTATACTATCATGCGTTCACTTTTGGCTTTAATACAATTATTTTCAAGCCAGTTGTCTTTATTTCATGTCTTTTTTTCTATTTGGTGCACAACCGTACCCTCCAGAGAATAGGAATAGAATAAGTCGAATCGAATTCATAAAAAGCTATAAAATGTTAGGTTTAATGGAATATAATGAGAATCAAGTAAAGACGTTATTAGAAAATAAGTGAGACAAGATATTGTGAAGTGGTATTTAAAGATCTGACAATGGATAGCAAGTTAATTCATAAGATGCCCCATAAATCTGTGCAGATCCCACGTGGTCGCATCTCAACAATAGGCTGAGCGAATGGTATATATTTAAAGGTAGAAGCATTATCTGTCAAGGCGTTCACTATTATCTTTTTCAAGATAAAGATCTTGAAAAAGATAATAGTGGGGCATCTTATAAACTAACTTGCTGTCCATTGACTGATCTTTAAATACCACTTCACAATGTCTTATCTCATTCATTTTCCAATAACGTCTTTACTTGATCCTCATTATATCCCATTAAACCTGTCATTTTACAGCTATTTATGACTTATTATATTCCTACTCTCTGAAGGGTACGGTTGTACATTAAATGCACAAAAAAGGTATAAAACAAAAACAACTGGCACAACTGAGGATAAATGTATTAAAACCAAAAGTGGACATCATGATAGTACTAGGTATACGTGTAGCATTATACATTGCAAATGAACGTTGTCAGCCTAGGGAGTTTTCTTTATAAATGCATTTATTAATGATACTTGCACTTACCTATTTCATTACAATTTAATGATTCACCTCAGCACTTTTACTTTTCTAAAACAGCTTTCAAAGAAGTCGATTATCCCGCTCAACCTGGAGGACAACTGTACAATTCAATAACTATACAGCCTAGTTCAGACAATGTGTATTTATATATTTATATATCAAATATTTAACTGTTGAAACATTATTAACTTGTAGACAATCTACGATTTGATATTATATCATACTTGATCGTGCCTGTAAAAATGGCATGCATTTTCATGTAAATTTATATGTTTATATGAGAATATACATTATTATTATTAGTAGTAGTAGTAGATGTGCCCTGGGAGACAAAGGCAGCATTTTAGTTTAAAAGGGAAGCTCGAAAAAACCTTGTATCTCTATCGATGAGCGATTGTGTGGCATATCCCCTATCTGAAGTGGCGCCTCCAGCTTAACCTTGATGGCATTCGCGCGGCTCAGTTGATTCGAGTTGTAGCCGGTCGTCCAGGCAAACGCAGTTGACGTGGTTTTGGTGCTCATTTTGCTCTTGTTGGATGAATTTATATGAAAATTGTTGTTCGATATTGTTCTTGAGCATTTAAGTATTGCTTGTGAGGCAGGATGCTTTAATATATGGTTCATGCAAGGATTATTTGGCATACCGAGTAGGCGTTGCGTTCATTTCCACGGCTGTCATTAGACAAATATCCTTGCAGCTTGCTGGCAACCGGTACTCGGTCGTAAATTTCCCTGCCAGCTGTTTCGCAGTACCTATTTTTGTTGCAGCGGCAGCGCCACCAACACCACCTACACTGATCATACTAGCCAACGGGGAACGATGTTGATGATAACCGCGATGTTGATTACACACTTCACGGTTGACAATCAATATAATCCCGATAAGGATAACTAGAAAAGCGATAATTACACCGATGATGTATGGCAGACTACTTCTTTCACTGGTGTTATTCACACTTGTCTGATTGCTAATCGATTGATTTGGATAACTGGTGGCATTATCGCCGGTGAGCAGTTCATGTTTAGCAATTACAGTTAACATTGGATTATCTAATAACAGGCTATGGCTACTAGCCGTTGTTCCGTAAGTATACTTAATATCTTGACACAGCTGAAGATATTTATCTAAATTGTTTAGAAATAAATTCCTCATTGCACATTAATGATCACATCGACACTGAGAGTAAGCTCGTGGGCATAGACCATATTTATTCAAATAATTCGGTTTTAATGCATGCTGTCTACCGCCTAATTCATATCGCCAATAGCTTGACCAATAACCATTATCTTCTTGTAGAAAATTATGAAACAAGTTGGTTAATGATTGTGGGGATAAATCGACGAGTTGATAGGCTGACAAAGTGTCATATTCCAATTGCCAATTATTATTATTATGATCATTTTTTGGTGAGAGCTGATTTTCTAAATTGTAATAGTATTGTGCATAACCGAGTAATTTCATTGTTGACCTCTGATAACGGGATAATCGAATTCGAGGATTGAAATCGCCCAGACCGTGCAAAACCATTGGGGAAACCGAGGGCATTAGAAATAAGGAAGCCACTGAGATATATGATTTTGACACCAGCAATCGAAAACTGTCCACATGTTCATGCGCAAATAATCCAGCCATTAATAGGTCAGCATTATATATTAGAATATTACGAAATCGATCATTAATATCTGGTCGAAGAAATCGATAAACAGCTGGTGCATTTTCTGATGCTCCAGGCGGAAAATGACTGACGAGTAAAACCTTCGCTTTATGTCTTCTTGCCCAACGAAATGTTTTCTGTAGCCATTCCAATTGACCTAATGGATCATTGTCTGTATTCCCAGCAAGACGATTCCCTTGATACCAAATGAGACCGTTCAAACTGATTAAGATTAAATTTGTACGACGATTACTATCCGCATGATGATAATCATAATGATTATATGGACCCTTATTCACAAGATGATGTGAAAAGAAACAAGTCTGTGAGAAATTAGCTGTAGGATATTTCGATGAATTCTGCTGTGATAATGACGACATCAAATGTTTCTGACGATGATTAATCCATTCACCCCATAGATCTTTCTGCTCACCAAGTTGATGACACCAAGCAGTACGTGAAGGACTATTCACAGTGACTTTCATATCATTCGCTGGAATAATATCATGATTGCCCAAAACAGGTAGAAGATAAACTGCATCCACGGGAAAGGCTTGTTTCAATGCCTTAGTTAGCAGTCGAATACCGTCTAGTAATTGATCAGATGTTAAACTGTCATCGTGTGTTCCATTATCGCCACTCCAAATAACAAAATCCGGTGTTTTAGGGAATAAATTTCTCGTAGCATTGATTGCAGATAAAGAAAGATTGGGTGAAGAATCCCAGGAATAATTACCCAATAGTAGATTACATGACTTATTTACATATTGAAGATCACGGTGAATATGACTTAAATGCCAAAAATAACCTATGTCATTATCTTCTTGTGCATTAGTTGAAAGTGCAAATGGAGTAAAAATTATAATTTTCGGAAGTAACATGACCGAAGTATGTTTTGCTGCTGCGTGAGCAGAAGGTTATTATGTAAAAAATCCAGATAGGTTATTAACTCCATAAATTATCCTTTAAATAGGAACGTAACGCCCACACCGAACATGGCGCGCAGCTTCCAATCCCTTGTAAACGTTGTACTTACCTCAATATTGGTTGGTTATCGTATGCCTACAACCACGGGATGAAAACGAAACGAAGTCAGTTTTCCCGCTCAACCTGGAGGACAATCGTACAATTCAATAACTATACAGCCTGGTTCAGACAATGAGTGTATTTATATATACGTATGAAATATTTAACTGTCGAAACATTATTAACTTGTAGACAATTTAAGATTTGACATTATAACATACTTGATCGTGCCTGAAAAAATGGCATGCATTTTCATTTATGTTTAATTGAAAATAAAATTATTATTATAAGAATATGGTTGATATCGAATTCGTGCATCATTCCGCACTTTTGTGCGGTGTTTTCATCGCTAAAAGTTAATTGGATGCATAGATACAAGCGAAGGTTACTGTTCACAACTGTCTAGAAACTGCATTGTGTTTTACGATCACTTTTAACATTCGCTGTTTTCTGCCAAAATTTTTGACTGAGTTAAATGCACACTGCAACATTTTAATAATTTCGTGGATTTGATTAGCATCCTCGTGATCAGGTACGTAAGGACATCTGATGTGTACGTCATTTTGTCCTATTATTGAGTTAGATTTCATCAACTTCCCACTTTTTGCTATAACCTTGAAGGAGGGAGGGTGGCGTTAGCTGATCAGTAGATATGGTGGTGGTCACTAAGGTGAATCGCCCCATTCTGCAGGAACAGCAATATACAAATTAAAGGCTCGAGATATTTCTGATTTTTATGAGGGCTTAGATCTTTATCTTGAAAAAGATAATAGTGAACGCCTTGACAGATAATGCTTCTACCTTTAAATATATACCATTCGCTCAGCCTATTGTTGAGATGCGACCACGTGGGATCTGCACAGATTTATGGGGCATCTTATGAATTAACTTGCTATCCATTGTCAGATCTTTAAATACCACTTCACAATATCTTGTCTCACTTATTTTCTAATAACGTCTTTACTTGATTCTCATTATATTCCATTAAACCTAACATTTTATAGCTTTTTATGAATTTCATTCGACTTATTCTATTCCTATTCTCTGGAGGGTACGGTTGTGCACCAAATAGAAAAAAAGACATGAAATAAAGACAACTGGCTTGAAAATAATTGTATTAAAGCCAAAAGTGAACGCATGATAGTATAAAATATATTGGTTTCATTATACATTGCAAATGAACGTTGTCGGCCTAAGGATTAATTACTTCCCCATTCTGTTTTCTATATAAATGTGTTTATTAATGATATATTTCACTCACTTAATCTATTACACTTTAATGTTTCACCTTAGCACTTTAACTTTTCTAAAACAGCTTCCAATCCCTTGTAAACGTTGTACTTACCTCAATATTGGTTGGTTATCGTATGCCTACAACCACGGGATGAAAACGAAACGAAGTCGATTTTCCCGCTCAACCTGGAGGACAAATGTACAATTCAATAACTATCCGGCCTGGTTCAGACAATGAGTGTTATATATATATATCAAATATTTAACTGTTGAAACATTATTAACTTGTAGACAATTTAAGATTTGACATTATATCATCCTTGATCGTGCCTGTAAAAATGGCATGCATTTTCATGTAAATTTATGTTTATATGAAAATAAATTATTATTATTATTATTATTATTATTATGTGCATTTGTACAACGTAAATTCGCAAAATAATTTTGGAATCGCGTAGAAGCAGTGTCCGACATCTACTAAAGCTGTAGACGTAAATGTTAGAAGTGATTGCTATATCCACTGAGGAGGGCTTATAGATCTCTGCAAGTAAGGGCTTCAGACCATATTCCTAAATGCTTCCAGAAGCAAATAGAATCCCCAGAACCGATAAATGGTGGCAGCAGGAGACCTAGCTTCTCTATTGCGGAACACAATAATAATATATTCCCATTTCGTTCATGAGGGACGCCAGTTTGCAGGCATCGTCAATATGATAAATTACATATACGATTTGTGAGCATATTTATTATTAATGATTTAATAAAATACGTATTTTTCCTACATGTGTAAGACACACCAGTTTTACAGGCATGGATAAGTAGTATTTAAATTAAATAAATTTGGTTTATATTTAAATTACATGGTTGCTGTCGTTTTTGTCTTTGGCTTGTGGGAAAATGTGATAACTAGTCATTCAATGGAGCACATCAAGAAATCGTCGTGTTTCGGATCAATATCGCGCTTGCAACTGTTATAACCCAATGGATATTGGTTTTCCCTCATGGTACATTATGATATAATACATTCATCTGATGTCTGGGTTTTTTTAATGCAAAGACAATATTTCTATATCTCTTTATGTGCTACACAGACTTTATAGCAGACTGTTCCGACTGACTCTCACGTCAGAGAGAACAACCAAACTGTAAATTCATCATACATCAAATTGTGTAATTTATATAATAACTTATCTATGCCTGTACAATTGGTATGTTCCTGCATAAACAGGAAGAAATATCTAGAAGTCATCAGCACACTGTCCCCGGTAGGTTTATTATTGCTTTTTAGGTGACTGCAAATAGTGAGTCATTTGAGGTGACAGGATGAATACCTCTAAACGCTTTCGTGGAGATTAGGATATATTCATTTTTTCGACTAGGAGACGATTGTTTTTACCAAGAAGGTTCCCAGGATGTCCACTTTTACTTTGAAATTCAAAGATAACGTTAAGTTGCTCACAATAATAGTCGCTATGGGAGATTACCTTCAGCGGAAACCACTTTAAGGTAATTTCGTAGCTTTAGATAATGCGTAATAGAAGTAAGCATTGTAGGTTAGTTGTGTCCGAATATATTGGACGTTGTATAACTGGTCGAATTGTAGCTCTTACATACTAGTTAGTCATATAAATAATGAATGCACCATACAAACGTTTACTTTGATTCGCCTACCTAGATCATAAGCAAGCATTATACCTGCATGTGGTATACAGTTAAGGCTGATACGCTGTGTGATGAGTTCTGTAAAACACGGTTGTATCATGATTGAAGCAAGAAAAACAAGTCAAGTAAAGGTAAGATGCGCGAAGTGACAAACTGTAAGAGGAGGGGATGAGTTATGCTTGAGTGCCTTAACTTCTTAATGTGAACAGCCAGACGAAATTTTTTATTTTATTTTTTTTTGATTACAGCTTGATTCCACATTGTATTTTTGGTACAAGTATGGAATTTTCAGCGTGGATATTGGTAGCCCAAAATTCGCAGGCCAACCATAGATATCAGGTGTGCGTCGACGTGGGCTCGAACCTCGGACCATTACATTTGAAATCGCTGAGACATGGGAAGACCAGGATTGGTCAGAAGAAAGAATTAATCCAAGATACTCAACGTCAGACTTGATTTCTATATCACTGTCATCAATTATACAACGGTAATGGGAATTAAAAGTTTCATTTATCCTTCTTTTACATCTAAAACTGAAACTAACTGCCTGACATTTGGAAGGATTTAGTTTAAGGCCAGTTGAAGAAGACCATTTGCCAATTCCTGATAGAAAGCTGTTCATTTTAGAACTGTCTAGCTAAGAGTTGAGAGACACTGAAATAGTTACATCATCGGCATACTTAACAAAGTGGATATTCAAACACTGCAGTTGTTGATCATAGAAATGATGGATATTAGATGACATCACATAATTCAACAGAATATCAGAAATAAATGAATAATGTTTCTTAGCTCGTCGGTAAGTCGACAGGCTATTTGAGGATGCCGCTGCATATTAACTGATTAATGAAGTAGCTATCAACCCTAATTTCCCACATTTACTTGTGCTACATACTTGCCGTTTAGCAGTATACAGACTTGCAATTGGCTATATAAGGAGACTTTAGCGTAACGAACATTACAAATTTATTATTCAGCTTGCTAAATCCTACTTAGTTTTTACAACGCGATATTGTATAGAAACAGACGCGAAATCCCATGAATGATTAAAGTAACAGTCTCATAATACTATGGTAAATCTCCATTCCACTAAGCTTAAAATGCATTAATCAGAATTCACATATGACGAAAGCTCATAGTATAGCGATGCACTGAAGACGTTCAGAAGAAGTAGAAATGAAGAATATATTAAACATTTTCCTTAGTTTACGAGAGAAAATTTTGATGAGGGGTATTAGCGTTAGTTTAACAGATTGACATTTCCACTGATTTCACATTCCACAGCCTCCATATACCTAAAATATGAAGCAAAACACGAATTTATGAAAGATAATTTTATATATTACATTTTATATATTTTTTTATATATATTTTTATATATTATATATATATATACACTGATTCTATTAATACTAAGTAAAGTTTTCATACAATTAAAAGTATTTGTAGTCCACAGCTGGTTTTTATATTGACGCCGTATGCATAAATAGACCTCATACGTGTTGCAGCATTACAGGATTAGACGCATATCTCAAGATAGATTCTGAAACACCCATACCGTTGAGACGTCATTCTATCATCAATTTCACAGTGAATACGTCTACGTTAAATGAGGTATTGCAAATGTGTAGCTTAAAAATTGATCCACAATCTCAGTAATGTCTAGTGAGCATGGTTTTCTGAATCCTACAGAAATTACATTTTCACATTTACGAATCTGTAATCATCAAATATAAGCTGAACACGCCTCAACTCTAAGCAACTACGCACAGTGTTAACAACATAGAGAAACACGTAAAATATTGTAAGATACGCAGACCTGTTGTGTTGATGAGGATAACAATGAAATATAATGCAACCTAGACGCTCAGTCATGATACTGCATCTGTACTGTTTCAGGTAAATGGAAATTTCTCCACTATTGGTGAAGAAAAACATTGCAGTATTGAGTTTACAGTGT